GTAGAAGTATTATACCAAATATATATGCTGAGGTAAAAAATAAAATTCAAGTTCAACTGAATGATGCTAAATACATATCAGTAACCACTGACATTTGGACATCAATCAATACTGATTCATTTATTACAATTACAGTACATTTTTTTCCCAAACTTGATAATTATCTAAAAACTTTTGTCCTCTGTACAAAAAAGTTAACTGAGGGCCATACTGCAGTTTATCTATCTGAAATTATAACTACAGAATTAAATAAATTTGATATTTTACATAAAGTTGTGGCTATAGTGACTGATGGAGGAAGAAATATAAATGCTGCAGTTAGGCTTATGAACATCCAACATATTCCCTGTACAGCACATAAATTAAATTTAGTTGTGAGAAATGCTTTAAATTTAACAGATGATTTAAATGTAGATAGAAATATTGAAAATAATGATGATGACAGTTCTGATAGTCGATTAAAAGAAATTTTAAAAAAGTGTCGTAATATAGTTGGATTTTTTAAACGTAGCGAAGTAGGCAATAGAAAACTAGTTGAAAAGCAACAACAAATGGGTCTACAAAATATTTTAAAACTCAAACAAGATGTATGTACGAGGTGGAACAGTACACTAGTGATGATGGAAAGGTTATTACAATTAAAAGAACCTATTACAATTGTAATAATGACATTAAAAGAAGCACCACCAAATCTATCATCTGATGAATGGGATGTAGTAGAGGATTGCATTCCATTGCTAAAGCCATTTCACAGCATTACTGTGGAACTGTCAGCTGAAGAATATCCTACGATTTCCAAAGTTATACCACTTATACGAGGTAATATTTCTAACGAATAAAATATTTTTTGTAAATTTGTTATTGAAGTACCTACATTTATTTTATAGGATTACAGATTGCATTAACTAATAAAGATCCCTCTACAATAATTGGAATATTACTAAAATCCAATCTCCACGAAAATATTAGATCACGTTTTCAAGGAATAGAAAAACAATCATTGGTTCCTCATTTCGGTAGAGCAACATTACTTGACCCTAGATGTAAAAAAGTGGCATTTGGAAATGAAAAAAATGCTTCTGATGCTGAAACATCAATAACAACAGAAGTAGCCAGTTTATTAAACATCCCAATTCCTGGTAATAAAATTAAACTTAATAAAATAAATAATTCTAACTCTAATTAATAATAATTGAATTTTTCATTGAAAAAAATGTTAAATGTAGAACCAGAAGTTGTTGATCCAGTACAAACAGAAACAGAAGACCTTTGGGGTTTTTTAACAACAAAGGTGAATGATATACAAAGTAAATCAACAACTACAAGTAGTGCAATGGTTTTAGTGAAACAATATTTAGGTATGCCATACCAAGAACTTTCTTGCAAACTTGGAGAATATTGGGAAAAACACAAAACACTGTTATATCCATTAAATGAAGTGGCATTAAAATACGCAACAATACCTGCTACATCAGTACCTTCAGAACGGATATTTTCCAAGACTGGTCAAATTATGTCAGCTAGGCGCAACAGATTATTGCCCAAAAATTTGGATACACTTGTTTTTCTTAATAAAAATATGTAGAATCACTATAAAACATTGTTATGTCAACCTATTAGTTTTAACATTATTAAAAATAAAAGAAAAGTTTGGTTCATTTTAAATAATTTACAATGTACTTAAAAGTTAAGATTATAAGAAGTTTTGTAGTTAATAATAAAAAAAAAAAGGAGAAAATATGTACAATTAAAAAAAGCGGGTAAGTGGATGTTGCTCTGCTGTAGGTACATTAGTGGATGGGAATGTGGGATGGACCTCGGTCATAGAGTTACTATAATGTGTTTGTTAAATTTGAATGCAATGATAGGTATCATTGTATACGAAAAACGATTCTGAACGGAGATGATTTGTCAGTCTAGGATATATTATAATTAAATATTGATATTATTTTATTTTAACGCATGAATTTTGATTTCATGAAAATTTAAACACTCGTAAAATTTTTTTAATTGAATAATCATAAATTTTTTTGATAATTATTCTAAGCTCAACTTATGGGCAGCCTAGTAATACATTTTCAATTCTTAGCTTTTAATAAAAATTGTTTATACATTTTTAACTAGGTACAGAATAATTAGCAAATATTCATGATTTTGACGATTTTCGTCAATATTAGCACTTATAAACGCTTATAAAAAAAATTGTGCATATGTATTTTTATAATTTTTGAATGGGAGTTAGAACAACTTATGTGGATCCTTCTATTAAATTTTCAAGTATTTTGTCAGAGCTAAATTTTTTTTATCAACATTTATAAAAAAAAAAAATTAAAAAAAATTGATTATTTCAAATGCCTATAAATAGATTAAAAATTAGTGAAATATTTTGAAAATAAAACTATATAAAGAAAATGTCAGTTTAAATAACTGGTAAAATTTTCAAGTTTCTACGACTTATACTTTTTGAATAATAACAAATATCAAAAATCGTTTGAGGCTAAACCGTTATTTAACGCGGTTTTGTAAAAATTTAAATTTCAAACACTACTAAAAAAATTTTGTCTTAGTCCGGGGCAGTTTTTTTTACAGATATTTAAAGAAAAACTTATTTAAAACCTTGTACCAAATTTTCAAAACTTAGTTATAAAAGAAAAAAATTTTACGATTTTCCAACCCCAAAATTACTTGCAAATTTTCGCAATTTTGACATATTTCGTATAAATTTGAACTTTAAGCACTTATAAAAAAAAAATTGTGACCAACGATTTTGGATTTTTGTTTATTAATTTGAGAACAACTTATAAGAAACCTTGTATTAAATTTTCAACATTTTCTTGCCAACCAAAAATTTTTAATCGTTGTTTAAAAAAAAAATACTTAGAAAAATTTAAAATTTCAATTGTCTATAAATAGCTCAAAAAAAGTCAAAATACTTTGAAAATTTATCCCTGTATAGACAACGCTAATATCAACATTTGTTGAAAATTTCAAGTGCTTACAGTAATTATTTTTGAGTTATAGTAAAATTAAATTTTCGTTTTTGTTGAAAATTGGTTTTGCGTAAAAATTCCCGCTTTTCCGTTACTTTTTTAAGGTTTTTCCCTACGCTTTTGAAAAGTATTGGAAAATTTTCACTTTGAAAATCGAAGCATTATTACTGCTCCAAATGTTGTCAGACACAAAAAAAAAAAAACACACATCATTGTAAAATCAATACATTCATCACTCCGTTCAGAATCTAAAATTATTCGTAGTGCAGATTATTCAAAAAATTATTCGGTAGGTACTAGGTAGTACCGGTATTCGATAGTGCAGATTATTTGAAAAATTATTCGGTAGTGTAGATTATTTGAAAAATTATTCGGTAGTGCAGATTATTCAAAAAATTATTCGGTAGGCACTAGGTAGTACAGGTTATTCGAATATTTATTCGGTAGTACAGGTTATTCGAATAATTATTCGATAGTGCTGATAATTTAAATAATTTTTGAAAAAAATAACGTTATTCAGTCCTGAACTTTTTATTCGAATGGTTATTCGATAGTTTATACGAATAATCGTACAACAATCGATAGTACAAATTATTCGTTACCGCCCATCACTATAATAAAGATATGGATANCTCTATAACGAAAGAAATCTCTTGGTCCCTTCAGATTCGTTATAAAGAGTTTTGACTGTAGTTGCAGAATTATTTATACTGCATGAAACCCAGAAAAATTATGCTGATTTAAAATATATGATATCTTAGTTATTTATTAACAAGATTATGAAATTAAAATGTACCAATATTATAGATATTGATATTGTAGAAAAAAAAGAGAATTATTAATTTCTCTTCTTTTATTTATGTGAAGTGTGTTAATATGCATTTTAAAATTTTGATTTATCGAGTATTGTAGGTTTAGGTGCAAGAGGTGTGGGTGGCTCTGCCCCCTCCACAACTCTGTGATGCATTCACAGATTTAGCACCCTGCGTTTTAGAGGTCTAGTTGCGCCACTGGTTATACGCCTTATACAGCCATTACTTAATATTTTGTAATATTATGTATGAATACCTACTCAATACTGTTAACATTCTAAGAATAACAGCTCGATAGACGATGGAGTCATACAGATTTGTGAAGGCGGGAGTCAATATTTATTTCCTATGCTACCCATAAATATTATTAATACATATTTATAGATATCAAGAAAAACTGGCTATTAAAATAGAAATAATAACTAATATAGTAATATGACAATTTATAAGTGATACGTTTATCGCCGTGCGTCGATGCCTCGATGGTCTATGAGACTGTTAACAATATATAAATATAGCCATATAGGTACTGGGTTTCTTACGGGCTACGATCCTATGAAATTATTTTTAAATTCAATTATTACAGTCCTCAAATACTACTCTTCATTGTGAGTTACTTGAAAATTGTGTCAGATCAATTAAAAGTTTGAGAACAAATTATGATGTAACTGTGGCTTTATCAAAAATATTGTGTTTGAAATGGGGATTATCAACTCAACCTAAAAACCATCGTCGAGTGTTTTCCAAAAAACATTTTGATGAAATTAATCATGTAGATGGAGATAGAAGAACTGATATAACTGAAGACAATTTTCGAGTGACAGTGTTCTTACCTATTATTAATACTGCATTGTCACAATTACGAGGAAGGTTTGAAGGAATGAAGACAGTATGCAATAATTTTGAATTTTTAACTCCTGGTATGATACTGATCAGAATTAACAAAAAATGCATATGACTTTGTTCAGTTTTATCAAAACGACATAAGTTCTGATTTCCCTCGACAACTGTTATCACTTAAAGAAAATTTAAAAAATATGAAGTTGAAGACTATAAGAGATCTAACATCTAAGTGATTTTTTTAGAAAATGATGTTTGTTCAGTTTATAGTGACATTATGACTGCATGCATTATTTGTGTTTTTTGTTATCAGGTAGTTGTAAGCCTACCCATAATCGCGCTTTTGGTGCTAAGCAATTTTGTAAGACAAAAGTTTGAAATAGGGGGCCCCAAAATTTGACTTGCACCTAGGCCCTGTTATCACTAGTTGTGTCACTGGTTACGACGAATGAGACAAACCACTACATCTTTTATAAATAGCCAAATAGGTATATTTAATTTTTTAGGAACCCTATTGTGGTATTGTTACACTTTTACAAATACTCGACAAGATTATGGTAAACGGACAATGACGTTTTTTGCCAGCTCCGGAATATTTACTACGCAAGGAGGAACGCCGCGACCGGCCGTAAAATCTGATCTTATTCTTATTGGACCCTTAAGCTGGGAACACACTATCCGGTTTTTCATTGAATTCTAACCGCAGTGGTAGAAATCATCAGGTTGTCCGCTTCGATCGAACACATCGTTTAGAAATAAACAGATCACACTATCAGTCGTGAAAAGTGTTTCGATCAAACCGGACAACCGTATGGTTTCTACCGCCGCGGTTAGAATACTGTGAGAAACCGAACACTGTGTTCCCAGCTTTAGCGTCGAGTAAGCCACGCCTGTGACGCTTCTTGGTCACAACAGTTGAGCGCATAAACCCAACTTAAGCTACCGCGCCTAACGAAGTTTTCACTTCAAAAACTAATAAAAATCAAAACTTGCTTATACCTTAAAAGTTAAAATACCTAGCTTGAAAAAAGTCAAAATATTTTGAAAGAACATACGAAAACCCCGGCTTTGATTCCAAAGTTCAAAAGTGGGGGTGCCAGAGAAATGTACCTTTAGTAGTACTATTATATGTATATATTTTATAATGAGCTGTGAATTGTTTTTTCCCTTTATTTTTTGGAGACAAATTGTTAATGTTACTTTCTATAACATTGAATATTTAATATCGTTTGCCTCTACGATTAACTTTATTACTGAAAAATTAAAAAATAAAGGCTCCAAACAGACGACCGGGGATTTTGGCGGCTTGCGTCTATCGTCTGGTTTTTTTTTCGAGGGCCGGTCAGTTCGCCCAGTTCGCCGGCATGTTCAGATTTCAGGCATACCGTATTCGTATATGCCGTGCTTCGAGGAGCACAGCGACCGGCCTTCAAAATTAGATCGCCCGTTAGGACCCGAAAAATATCATGTTCTGTGGATGCATTGTTAAATGCTTTTAATCTGACCTTGAAGATTGTAATAATATGCTTTTCATAATGCACCTATTTTATATGGTACTATGTTTGCTTATTAGTTATTATGATTTATTTAGAAATTATGTGTTAAATGAATATATCATATTGTCATTTTGTATCAGAAAAAAAAATTCAAATATATTTTTTAAAAACGTACCGAATAATAAAATACTTTAACCATATTTATATCATAAATGTATCATTAATACAAATAGTAAATATTCTATAAGGTACCTAGTAACAATTTAAAATCCTAACACATTGTTCAACAATCAACAATCAGTATGAATTACGAAAACAATACTTAACAAATTCGAATATAACATTAACAACAATTTATTGCTTGTTTTACACACATTACTAAATGATTATCATTTATATTACAAATAAATGAATTCCCTAAAATAAATTAAAATATCAATACAAAAAAAAAATTTTAATAGATTAAAAATGGTAACTTTTAGTGAAATATTACAAATAATGTGTTAAATATTAAAATTTAAAATAAAAATGTGTACTACTAAATTACTCATTTGGGCGTACAATTGATTATATGTTATTCAAATTACTAACTGGAGTATGAATACATTTTAATATTCATATTTTTAATACTTAAGTTAATTAAAATATAATACTAGACACTAGTTAAAATTCAAACTGATTATTTTAATTTCATGTCATATCACATTTTGATATAATAGGGCATGTTCAAACTACATTTTAAAAATTAGTTAAAATTAAACTAACATATTAAACAATTTATACTGTTATTGAATCTAAATACTAAACATATATTTATAATTTTGTTTAAACTCTTAAAATTACCATTTGCATAGTATTATATATGTTGGTCAATGTTTATAATTTTATTATGAACAGTGGCGCCCAGCCTATACACAAGGTGTTGCGACCACTATTGTTTCATAGATTTTTAGGGGGTAGGTGTCCATGGCTAAGAAAATTTAAAACCAACTTAAATTAATGGATATTTTGGTTATATATATATCAACTGGTACAATGTGGCTGGGCCCAACCCTATTACTTGGTGTAAAAGTTGCTATACATTGGAAAAAAGTGGAGAACAATATTTAAAGAAAAATATTTATTAAATGCTGGTGGGTGGGGAAGCAGGTAAAACTATGTCTTGCTACACCTAATTAATATATCTTAGGCAATACTGATTTTGAACATCAGTTTAGATTAGTATTAAAATAAAAAAATTACCAATGAACCCATAAAATATAAATAATGATATACCTAGTTTGTTATATATTACTTTATAAATTAATATGTTTAAAATGTTTGATTAAATGATTGAATAATTATATTCATGATAATTTTTAAAATGTAATTCAAATAAGAAAACTGTAGAATGAAAATATAAAACAAAATAATACAAATGATAAGTTATTCTAATTTTAATAAACATCATTTAATGTACTTTCTGTTTTACTTTTTACCGATATTTTTCAATTATTTAACCATAGTTTTAACATAGGGTAACCTCTACTAATTGTAATATTGAATTACTATAATCTATAATAAATAATTAATATCTTCAAACCCCAACCAAATTGTTTATATACCAAAATAACATACAGATAAAATCTAAATAAATCAGATAGAAGCTAATGTAATATTATGTTATTAAGTAGTTAATATCGGTTATATTACCTACAAAATAATTTTTAGAGTTTAATCAAAGCTATTAAAAGTATATTTATCCATGTATTCAGTTCATATATAGTATACTAATATGTATTTTCATACATAATTTTAGTGCTCATTTTTTTAACAAGTCATAAAATATCACATATATGTTTCGAAAAAAACTAGAATCTCTTATGTTAATTGTAAAACAGGTTCACCATTAAACCATATCAATTAGTATGAATGTTAAGCTAAAATTTGACAGGCTAACACAATGGAAAGAAAATTATAATAAAATAATAATAATATCCTAATATGTCCTCAAAGAGGCTGATTTCTTCATCGGAAAAGTAAACAATTGATGTCTGATTTTTATGAAAAAATTTAAAGTGGATTAAATATATGTTAAACAACATGATCATTAATTAAATTAGATTTTAAATAAATCAGTTAATAATATATATAAATTAATTATATCACCTAAAAATTGGTTAGTTGACTAACAAGGGGCATTGCAAATGAACGTTTTATATCACTGATGATAACAATTAATAATTATTTGACTAATTAAATATGCATTTAAGTTAATATCACTTTTTTCAAACATAAGTGGAAAATCACATTGTGCTGTACAATTATAAATAAATACCCAGCATAAAATTTGGGCATTTATTTACAATGACTGGATTTTGAATCAGCCATACCAGATTTTGATATTTCAGCAGCATCTCTAGATTGATAAAATAGTATATAACCAGTTTCTGATGATTTCTGTAAGTCTGACGTGAGACCATAGAAATCTTCAATAGCAGATTGATCAATTTTCTATTTAAAAGAAAACAAGATATTAATTAAAATTTTACAATTACCATTAAACTAAATAATTAAAATCTTACATCAACCATATCATCATCAAACAGTAGCCAAAAATCATGGCTTTTAACTATGCTAATGTAATGACCTCTATTTGGCCCACTGCCACAATGTATAACTACAGCTACAAGATTGTACATTCTGTCTGGATTAACAGCATCATCAGACTGTAACATTATTGTTATTGTTATTTTAAGACAACAATATTATTATGATAGTCAATATGCATAATATGCCGATAAAAAAAATCATTACCGTATTAAATAATCTAAGTTCTAAAGGAAAAACAACTCTATGAGATACTTTTATATGCCTATTAAATTGTTCCATGTATTTGAATCTTTTTAAATGCAATGCCAATATCATAGGTAATTTTTTGACCCGCATACATTTCTAAAATATCCATAATATATTACACATATTAGATGACCAAAAATAGATTTTTACCTGGGCTTCTTGATAGCTACAGCAATTGTCACATTTAAATTTATTATCACTACAAAGCATTTCTGTATTGCTAAAACAACGTAAACAATGTGTAATACTAGTATTTTGATCTATATCTACTTGGAGATCAAAAAAGTCTTCATCTTTACTGCTGACCTAAAATAAATATTTATGTCTTAGTTTAATTTAATACAAATGTAATACACCTACTTCTTCACAGTTTAAACATCTAGTTTCACTCGTTAGTATTCCTTGAAATATTTCATGTACCCAGGTTGGATCTTGATTATGACTACTCGAGCTAGTGATGCTACTAGTAGTTGATTCTCCATCAACAATGTTAGGTGTAATTGATTTAGATTTACCATTACAATTTGTTTGGTTACGTTCAGCTTTATACATAATTTATAAATTATTATTATAATTCTTTTGCGTTCTAGATATATTAATAATGTATTTACTCACAAAGAATGATCTCATTAATATGATTTATAAGGAAGTTTAAAAATTCATGAGCATCTTGTTGCATATAGTTATTGAATTCTTCTGTAAATTTAATTAAAATTCAGAGATAAGTAATAACTGTCAAAAAAATTGAATTACAATATTTCATGCCTTAAACTAGACCTGCGAGGTTATAACAATTAATCAATTATTCATATAATTTATAGGTTATATCGGTGATCCTACAATAGCTTAATACACCGATTAATTGTTATTACATCAATATCAATCAATCAATGAAAATAATCATTTATAGATTAATCACTTAATATGAATTTATAAGTTATCCCTCCTTAATTGGGTGGTTAAAACTGAAATTGTTTAAATACATGCATAACTTCAATGCATTATGCAGTTAATAGATTATTAAGAAATCAATTGATTAATCGGTAAAATCGATTAGAACTATAGTTGATAATTGGTTGTATCCTATAATAATAGAGTAGACCTACCTTAAACAATTAAAAATATTAATTTAATTTTCACATTCAAAAAATGAAAATATTTATTGTTAGATCATAGTAAAAAGAAAATGTTGTGCTGTATTACCTTTCTCTTTTCTAAGTCTATTAATAAATTTTTTGGGTGCTATAGACCCAACTTTTTTTTTTTGAGTTGCAATACTATGAAATAGATCAGCTAAACACGTGAGCAATGTTTCCTTATTTCTCTTATTGCGAGCTTTGTATTCTAATACTTTGTCTCGAAAAGGTTTACAAAAATAAAGAGCTTGAAGAACTGAATTACTGTAGCATGTATTTCCAAACTGAAAAATAAATAAATATGTTTATTAAAAATGTATTTAAAATAAAAAAGTAATTTTAAATATATCAAAACAAGTTTAAATTATTTAAACTTTGTATAGATTTAGTACTAGTTAGGATGAAACATAATATAATTTATATTATTAAATATCATTTATTGGGGATGAAATTTAGTTTGCAAAAGGCATAATAATTTTAACAAACTAATATAATTCATTCATTAGCTAATTCACCTTTTCACAGACGTGCTATTACGTTCAAAACATTTACTACTCCAGAAGTACTGTTACGTAACTGTTTTATAATATAATTTTTTGCCTGTAACCTAACAATTTTAGGAAATCTTGGCTTGCATTATTTTTAACTTAAATAATTATACTATATAGATCTCAAAATTAAAAATGTATATATATATCTTATTTTAGGTAGCTTACACAGGTTGCAAAGCATAAATAGTGTAACAGTGAAAAGGTTAAAATAATATGTACACAAAATTTAGATAAAGGTAATTTCATTACTTTTGCCATAGAAACTAGATACTTATAAAAGTCATTAGGATTTAAATTACTTGTTATTTATTTATCAATATCAAGACATTATCTATTAAAACTAAATTGTCTTTATTCACTTACACTATACATTCCAGATTGATTCACCAAGCCTGATTGAAAAAAATGATCTACTAAATAATTAACCGTAATAAAGGTAGTTCTTATTTGGAAAACAAAAATTTTTATTATCACAGGACAATCCTTAAATAGTACAATAAATCTCAGGAATTTGAAACAGGGTCTTAAAATATATTTTGAAATTCCAAAAATTAGAATTCTAATAAATTCATTATTAAGTGACAAAATGGGGGTGAGCATTCTTAGACAATTGTCCCATTGTTTTTAAGAATAGTTTTGACAATTTATTGTATTTATAACAAGATTTATAAGAATGTATAGAAAATAAAATGGATAATCAATGTTATTAGTTATATCATTGGTATCAAGCAAAAAATGATCAAGTGAACATTTTTAGATTTTTTGTCCATAAATACTTTTTATAGGAGAGAAAATGCTTCAAATTTCTACTTCAGCATCTTTTCTGGCAGGAAAGTTAATTAATTTTATACTTAGATAGTTATAAGTAGAAAACTAATAGAAGTTTTCTAAAGAGTCGGCAAAAAACCCTAAGAAACTATTGAAAACGAGAAATTTTAAGTAGAACTATATTTTGACAGAATTAATTTTACTAATCTGATGTAACGCAAAGACGAATTGATGTAGATATTTGAAATTTTCCCAAAATGTTTGATAAACATTTCCTAAATATGATAAAATTTTTTTTTTTTAGATTTTTAAAGGCCTGAAAATTGTTTCACTTATTAGTTTTTTTCAATTGTTATCAATAAATAATTTTTTTGTTCAGTCATAAATCTTTTAGAATTTAAAACAAGATTCCCCATAAGTCGTTATTTGTACAATAAAAATCAAGTCAAGGGCACATCCAAAATACATTTTAATGAGCGCCTAAAGTTAGCATTTTAATGAAATTCTTACAAAACTGGGAAAATTCATGAAAAGTTTTCTTTTCATATATAAAATTCAACACAAGATTTTTCATAAGTTTTCCTATTTAAAAAAAAAAGTTTACAAAAAGTCACAATAATTCGTAATGAGCGTTTGAAGATCATATTGTAATGACAATCGGATTTTGCCCTAAAAATAAATTTTTTCCCTTAAATAAATTTTGATATTTTTTTGTAATTCAAAAACGAATAAAAGTAGATACATGAAATTTTGACCCAATATTTTTTTTTGCCACTTTCCAGGCATGGTATAACTTTTAAAAGATATAGACTATTTTTAAGCTATTTATAGTCATTAGACATTTTTTTCCTACTAATGTCTTTAAATAAATATTAGCTAGGTCAAAATGCTTGAAAATGTAATACAAGGATTTTTAGTTATATGTGTATGTTACAGCCTTTTGATAATATTATTGATACATAATATGCAAAAACTTTTTTTCATTCATTTGAATTATGACAAATTCACAAAACCAACAAATTATTTTGTAGTTAAATTTGTACAGCTCAGTTTTGAAAATTTAATACAAGGTGTTGAGGTCCCTCATCAGTAGTTCATATTGAAACTATAATTCTAAAAAATATACATTCCCGATTTTTCTTAATAGACATTTGGTGTTCAAATTTGGGCGAAATTGCACATTTAAACTGAATAACAATTTTGGTTATTTTATTATAATTCAAAAACATTATTTGTGGGGACTTAAAACTTTTAAGTAACAATATTATAAATTTTATTTTAAGCAATGACATTTTCAAAAGATTAATAATTTTAGACTTTTACCTGTTCGTACTTAAAACTTATTTACTGTTTTAAGGTAGGGTGGTATTGACTCAAAAGTTAATAACAATAATATAATATAAATGTACACCATTATAATAATTAAATATTAATAATATAATAAATGCAGTTTTCTGCAATAATTAAATCAACTAACGTAATACTACTAATAAAATAAATTACTTTAATAGTAATATCAAAAAACATATGAAATAAATACCAAATATACTTGATATAAAGCATCCATTACAATGAGAAAAAAAATATTTTATAAAAAAAATTATCAATTATTTAACAAAGAAAATCTTACATTAACTAAACCAAAATAATGCTCATTTGGAGGAAACTGATCTGATCCAATATCTCTTTCTAGTTGTGACACATTACCGCCCTACAACACAAAACAAAATAATTATTAACTAAAAATATAAAAATCTTTTGTACATAACCTTTGTTTTACAAATTCACTTATTGTGTATAATGGGCCATATGGAATATAATTATACTGATTTTAAAGAAAAAAAGTACAAATTATACTATTGGGTTTGATATATACTAGGAATAGGAAATCCATGGCACGCAAAAATTTTTACTATTATATATTATATAATATTATAGGAGCTATAATAACCTAAACTAACCTTTTTATACTAATACATTAATTATAGTGTAAGAAAATTTTATATTTTTTTCATGGCATGCTCTAAAAAAGAAAAAGGCTTTTACTAATTTTAGGCACGCAGTGTTCAAAAGGTTTGCCATCCCTGATATATGCTAATAAAATCTTGATGACAAATTAGTATACATTAAAAAATAACGTATTTTGTTTGATATACCTACCTACTATTGAACTCTACCACAAAACCAGTTAAATAAAAATAAGATAAAAAAAAATAAAAGTAAATTTGTATTTATAAATAAAAGTTACAACTTGTAATAATTATTAAATAATTACCTAAAAAATATATATTCTTCAATATTTTTCAATATGGATAACTGTTTACTTATTTTCAAAATGAAAGTTAATTAAAGATTTTATTTTTTTTAAATAATTAGATAGATTTAAATTGTAATGGATACAATTAAATGTAAACAAAATCTGAAATAATTATTTAGCATAAATTAAAATACATATTTTGTTTGAAGAAATAAATTGAAATAATTATTCAAATATTCAGATAGTGTGTTAGTTGTACTATTCAATGTACTTGAATGAAATAATAAGATAAAATATTGAACTTAAAATACATTACCATATTACAAGACAACTGTTCAGTGGTGTAATCAAGCCATCACTGAAAAATGAATTTTAGCGCCTCTCCGAAAATTGAATGCTTATATCCGTGCATTTTACATTACACTGAATAAAAATCAGTAGAATACTAGTTCGAATTCGGCTGAGAATCGGGGATTGGAGCAATAAATTTAATATTTTTAGTGGATTAGCTCTTCAAAGCGCAGAGTGCAGCCACTAGACAGTAGGCACTAGGCAGTGTCGTCACTCGTCTGTCTTATCGAATATTAACTATCGACTTATCGGCTATCGCTGTTAATCAACTATCAAATATCAAGATAAACACACCGACAACAGAAAGTTTTACACAGTGTGGCAAACGTAATTCTAGAAGACGACTTTGGCAAATTACAGTCGTACCACACACTGCACCAGGGTAATTATATTTACGGATTTATCATCATGAGTCATGACGTGATATGGTGATACTCTATGGTGCCGTCGCCGGCGCTGATGCATGAGGGATATAATCTTCAATGCGTTTAGTTTTTGCCGCGTTTAGTTGAATTTCCTCGTTCGTCTCGTTCGCACTATGGTCGCTTGACTTCCGGTGTTTTCTTTCGTTCGCGTAGTTTGTGCGTGCTCCGCAAATGTCGTTCAAATAATCATTGATACTTTATTAACTGTGCTATTCTCCTGCGATTCCGTAGGATTAAATTGTTGTGTGTTCGCGAACGAACTATTTAGAAGTACATATTGGACTCATCCATAGCCTATGGAGTATGGACCATAAGTAAAACCGACTGCAAGTAGGTAAGCTATGGAATTTAAGTTTATACTTTAGATGCTATGATTATGAGTTATGAAAAAAAAAAATGACGGACTTGTACATTATAATTTTTGAGATTATCTAAGGGAATCAACCTAATTATCTTACAGGTTACAACAGTTTTTTTTTTTGTTAATTTTTAATTAACCTCTAATGTATACTTACATATTAGAAAATGAGAGAGTAGGTACCCATCAAAATTAAAGCCTATAATATATAACAAACATTTAAAGAACTATAATGAGGTGTATTATCGGGTATATTCAAATATATATTCGTATAATAGTATTTAAATATTATTGTACTATTATAGCATAATAAATTATGCTAAATTAAACAGCCATACAGGCTATAATTGTTATTAATTATCACATTTTAATGTCTATAATTTATTTAGAGTAAGTTACCCAAACTTAATAACATATTATTGTAATAACAAAATAGTGACAATGTGTTAAACATTTTAATGCTTCATTTTACTTGACCGATGCTAATTGATAAGTTATTATTGATTATATACTATAACTGTTATTTTTCTATACTCTCCGAACTCTAGAAATTAAAATGGAACTTTAAACAAAAAAACATTTTATTTTCAATTCTCATTTATATTAACTAACTATTAAAACATATAATAAGGGACAAAACAATAAATCGTGAACATGTACCTTCAACAATAAATAGGTACAGTATACAATATGTATAGTTTTAAATAGTATTTTAATAACGATAGTTCTATGAAAATGATATAATTTATAATGATTATTTAATATTTATCAAAAGGTACGTATAGTAAAGAATATACAAATCAAAAATGCAAGGTTCAACATAAGTTGTTTCTATAGCAACATAAAAATCTAAAAAAATACATACCTATTATTATATTATTATAATAATAAAAATACATAATATATTATATTATGCGCTATTTTTACACAAATTTAGGTAAAAAACAACGGATTTAGTTGTTCGATATAATTTAAAAATATTATTAGTGGTGAATTGAAACTTTATGCCACTACGTAGGTATCTACGGGTATTATTATTTATTATAGATTTATAAAAAATAGTTCAGTTCCCAATCTCATATTTACCCTTGGGGGGGGGGGGGGGTCAAGGGGTCCCCACTCCCTTTCACCATTGTCCCATAACGAAGTTAATATTTTTTCTACGAAGTTAAAAAACATGATTATCTATGTAGTTCAAAGCTTTTAGTTGAAAAATTATGAGAAAATTCCCTAAATCCGCCTTTGCAACCTACAGACTTAGATACTGCACCTGCAGACTACAGCTATAATAATAAGATTGTGTTCTGAATAAGCTATAATTGTCCATAATAGAACTTGGCGAAAAAAGCAACCTATATGTGACGTTTTCTATTTGTTTTTCTGTTTGGATTATATTTTTTTTTTATTAGTTGAGCAGTTAAGGTTGTAAATAAGCAGATAACCATGAATATTCCATAAAATTAATAAGTTGCATAATATAGTAATTTATGTATAGGTACTTATATATATATAAAGGATTATAGTACAACAAATCGCAAAATATGATGATATTTATCAAGAAAAATAATAGTAATTTAATAATCTACATAATAATTATACAAACTCAATTAAAGGTTAATATGACTATGTCGGGCATAACGAACTAACAAGTTCAATCTCTAGATTTTAATTAATTATTAATTACCCATCTTTAATTTCAAGATAAGGGTAAATTACTCCTTCTGAATCCATGCCCTATAATATATTCAATCACTATACTTGTCACTAATCATTAAATTAGCTAAACCTATTATAATTACTAAATTAATAAAAAATATTATTTATTTCAAAGCATTCGTGTAATATATATTTGGTATATTATACAAATTAAAACATTTTTGTGCAATAAAATGGACTCAATCCGAAATTTAATAAAGGAAGTTAAAATTGCAAAGGTTCAATAATTTACGATTTTTTTTTAAGTCCTACGTTTTGGTTAGTTTATCCCTAAAACAATAAGTATTCATTATTCATTAATATAATAATGTACGCGTGATTCTCGTTATCTGCCAGTTGTGCATTTTAAACATCTGTATGGTGCTAACAAAGCATTCGTTTGAAAATTGAAATAATGTTTTGGTGACAAAAATACAAGCTTATATTGATTATTATGATGAAAGAAAAGTGTGAACACTGAAACGTCATCTATGATACATGAATAATTCGATTATAATATTGATACCACAAAAACTGCTTCAGACGATAGACGTTAATTTTGTTTTGACTGTGTTTGATGTTTGTATATTCGACTATGGTCTATGAGAGGCCGGATGTTACTTGCGGCCAGGGTGATTTTTTATGCTGCTCTTCAAATTTAAATGATAAGTTATATACAACAATAACATACAGAAGTGTATAGGGTAGGTACTAATAAACACTGGTTGCTCTAAATTTTAAGTCAAAATAATTATTATAGTAATATTCCATAATAACAAATTCTTATGATACCTATTGTTTATTATTGCTAAATAATTTAGGTAAAATAATTATTTATTGATTCGCCCATATATTACGCCTGCATATTATATGCAATACAAATATAAAATATAAAGTATATATTATTCTAACAAAAGATAAAATATTTTTTGCTATTTCCATTGATTTATAAAGGTTTAAAATATATTATAGGCACCTTAATATACTGTATACAATTGAACGCACTTAAAAAAACTTGTGATCGAGAGAAACCTCTACTTTGTAATAAATAAAAATCAAATATTAATCTTAAAAATAAATAAATTCTTTACAAAATATTATTAATGCCCATTTGGTTGTCCGGTTTATATTTCTTCAATGTACGATATACCTTATGCACTTGAAGTAAAAAAAAAAATATACAGATTGTGTTTTTTCAAACGAAAATTTAAAAAAATATTGAGACCCGAAGTTAACCATTAAATATATATTTAATAACAAACTGAAAATAATATTTTATTTTATATACTTAGGATTTTATTATAATTTCGTATAATGTATTACAAGATTTAAAAATAATTTACCAACAGTAATATAAATAAATTATAAAATATCCTTAGGAATAGGGGTCGTGCCCTGACATGTCATTTTAGCTAATAATCGTCTTTCGTACCTATGCAATTACATATCTTTTAAGCAAAAGACACCCATTAATAATTTTAGTGGTAGTTAGATAAGCGAAGTGGTGGAACAACATTTTGCGTGGTACCCCTATGACACATTACACCACTCATTAAAAAAAGTTAATTACATATAACTATAGTTAGCTACTACCTCAACATTTTGATGCATTAGAAAACTCAGAAAAATATTCTGCTGTGACCTATGGCATATGAAATTTAAAATAATATATGTTATCATTTAAAAAACTAACGTTATCCATACAATTGTTAAAATATATTTTTTTTTTTCAAAAAATTTGAGTTGCAATGATGATCAAATTATATTGAAAACACGTTTTCAAAAAGGTAAGACTTTTCAAAATAATAATAAACGAATATCCGCTTAAATGGATTAGCTACTAGAAATCAAATTACACGATGGAATTAAATTCTATTTTATTTCAACTACTAGTTTTACACTTTCCAGAAATTCCTTTAATTATTTCATGTATTTTATGGCCATTTACTTTTTAATAGTATTTCCTATAGAAAGTAAGAGAAAATAAGATGGTTATGAAGTGAGTGTCAATTAAGTTAATATAACTAAAAACCGATATAGATACAGTATAATGTTTTAAATAATACCTATAATAGTAATAACTAATAATATTCACTAATTTTATTATTTGTAGGATAATTTAAATTCAAATAAAAAATAACAAGTTTAGCAGTAAAGAGTAATAGGAAAAAGAATTTAAAATATATACATTTTGTTTTCCTACCTAATATTTATATTTATAAATATTCAAAAGACAAATAGAAGATATTTCAATGTAAATACACTTGTTGTACTATTATTTTATTCATTAGACTTAGAGTTAGATTATGTTACTATTTTTAAACTATACAAGCGGAGATTTTTTAAAGGTGAACTCGTAATTTCTTCGAATAGTATGAAAGTTTACAAAAATATTTTTTTTAAAATAATTCGAAGTCATCATTAGAAAACATTTATTAAAAACAAATGTTTTTTAAAGTTACAATTTTGATGTTTTTACTTGTTGAATGACAGTATACCTACTTGTTTTATAGTCCGATGTCTACAAATTGAATTTAGAACGACTAGACACTAGTTAGTAGACGAATCAGAAGAATTAGTTACAACTTATAAGTATTGGAAAAAAAATGTTTTGTAATGACTTCAAGTTATGTGAAATACAAATATTTCTAAATAGTAAAATGTCAACATTTTTAAGACACTGATTTTTATCTTTAAAATAATTTAAAATTAAGTTGTTTAAAATATTATTATACTCAAATAGGTATTAATTACGTAAAAATTAAATTTTCAGTATTTTAATTTCAATAGAACATTAGGTATATACTATTTAAATAATATATACCTACTTTTAAATAATTAATAACTGTGTATTTGATCTTGATATAAAAGGTGTATTTAAATGATTGCTTACAGCTTACATGACATCAGAAATGTTATATATATATTTTATAAAAATGCTAATAAGAAATTGTTCACAATCTTACAAAACACGTCTGACAATAATCATTGTTCCTATAATCGCCATATCTGAATGATGTCGCATTGTGTGCATATCACGTAATCTTTCATGTTCGTCAGCAAAATAGTAACACTTATAACATTGGGTATAATGATATTCCTTGTACATGAATCACATCTGTAAATGGAATAATATATGTCTTACGTCTATGTATATACCTGCAGTCACACCTGCAGGAAAAATATTTAAGTATAAACTGTTTCATAACAATAAAAGTTATATTAATTATAACTTAAAAGTTATACAGAGTATTATACAAGTATTTTATGAAAATGTATCG